CTCATCTTCCATGATATACTTGACAGTTTCCAACTTGACTTGTTTTTGTCTCCTCCAAATCATTATAAATATATACTTTCTGATTGTAATTAAGGCCTGTAAAAATTCTTCCCTTGATTTTACCACCTGAAACTGCAGCTGTTGGCTGACACTATCAAAGCCTCACAATTCCAAACTCACGTGCAAATCTCATCAAGGGCAGACATTTCTAATTGATTCCAGAAGTCTTTCTTTTGCTCAGTTCAGGGGGCAGGAGAAGAATAATGAGCAGCTTCCAAACGGTGGGTGCTGAGCTTCAGGCATGGAGATTTTAAAAGCTCTAACTTGGCTGGCCCGTCAGAAATGCAGAGCAATTTTACGGTCAATTGGCCAGAGCATCTGGAACCATACATCATCATCTTTAGTTGATGGTGGTGAAGCCAGCTCACACACTAGCTAAGGCTAAAATCAGTAATGATTCTGTCACACCTAGGTGGAAACTAACTTAATCTACAGAATGCAGGGTTCAATCATGCTTTTTCCAAGCAGCACTATTGCCCCCAGGGCTGTTGTCTTGTCAAGGAAGTCCACTTTTGTAGACTACTAAAGCAGAATTTTCTTTTTGGCAAAGATAATATAGAACATTAATATGACAAGTTCAGTGGGAGTTTGTTTAAAAATGGGTGTGTGTTGGTATAGCTTTTTATTGCAACACTTCATGGGGGCTTCCTCCCATCACTTCCTCTCTCCATCTTTTTTTTTAGCTTATACAGTCATGGGTCTAGGAGTGGCTATGGTATGGTCTGCAATTCATACACTTGACAGGAAGAGCCATGGTTCAGTGGTAGAGCACATTCTTTGCCTGCAGAAGTTCCCAGGTTCAATCCCCAGCATCTCCTTACAATGTTTGAGGAATCTAGTTTAGAGTGGGAACAAGCTCAGTTCCACAACCCTCTTTCTCTCCATCCTGACTCTACCTTGCACCAAGTGTGCACCACCAGGGAGAGAATCCAAGCAAATCCGGCTTGCATACACACCACCCACATGCCTGTTATGCCATTTCTGCTTTTGCACATGATTTGTGAGCTTTGCGCAAAGAAGGGGACTGCTAGTGTTCATGCTAGTGTTCATTTGATCTTGGCACATCTCACTTGCTAGCCAAAGTCAAGCATGGGAAAGAAGGCTGGTGAACACACGAGAACTAGATTCCACCTGAATCTTTGCATCCCTAAGTAAGTTTTGGAAACAACTTTGCTTACACTCCTGGAGAGATGGTGCCATTCAGTATTGGCCAATAGTCTCATTTCACATGTTCATATGGGAGAAGGACCCACCTTTACCTTTCAACTTCACAGTATGGAGTTCTTTCATGCTATTTATTTATTCGTTTGTTTAGTAAACTTCTATGCCGCCCCATTCGCTGAAGCCTCGGGGCGGCTCACAGACATAAATAAACTTCGTTAAAATAATATAAATTAGCAGTATAAATTAAGTCGCCCTGGCCAAAGAATAAAATAAATAAATACTATTAACAGTTAAAATGACATTTGAATAAAAAGGTCTTCGCCTGGTGCCGAAAAACAAATAACGCCAGGCGTTTGCTACATAGATGAGCAAAGGTCAAGGATATATCCAGATGGCAATGTTTCTTGAGATTTTATAAAATCAAAGAACAGTAGAGTTGGAAGGGGCCAGAAGGCCATTGCGTCCAATCCCCTGCTATTGCAAAACACTAAGTTACACCATGCTTTTTAAATAGATCTAGTGAGGGAAAGCCCACAGCATCCCCAGGTAAGAGGTTCCATTGTCATACTGTGTGATTAGTTTCTTTTAATGTAAGTCCATTATTTCATGTCCTGCATTCTGGAAGGAATGAGAAGAGATCTCATCCTTCCTCTTTTTGACAGCCTTTCAGGTACTTGTAGAGTGCTATCATACCGTCCCTCAGTCTTCTCTTCTTGAGGCTGAACATGCTTAGTTCTCTAGGGCTTTGCCTCAAGTTCCTGAATCATCCTAGTTGTGATTTTAATTTATGAGTCACCTTTTGGCCTAAATACTGCAAGGTGACTCACATAAAA